CGACTCCTCTTTTATATCCGGGTTACACTGTATATATATATATATATATATATATATATATATATATATATATATATATATTATATATTGTTATCGGTATTTTTACTACCATTATCATTAGTAGTATTCATAACAGAAGCATAATACGTCAGAATTTTACAAGTTTATCAGATTTTTCCTTCGTCGATCAAGCGGAAGAAAGCGTCCAGAATCTATTGGGAGAATAAAGGATTTGGAAGTTAAGATGGACACCGCCATTTACCAAAATGGCCGCTTATTAGCCCCGGGCACGGTGGTCGGCATAAAACGGACACAAAACGCTAGCAGGGACATAAAAACCTGTAATAAAACATTAGCGGAAAGCAAAAACAGGCCATTCGCTGACCAAGTTGTTTAATTGCTTCAATTTTTATGAATTGACCTCGTGAATTGGACTGCCATAAACTTTACAGTAATTCAAGGAGTTGTCGGATGGTGTGCGATTAGGAATTGTACGGAAGACTCGAAGCGCTGAAATTTATCACTCGACATCACATCTTATTGTCTTGTTTGTTTGTTTTTTGTTTTATATTTTCAGATGTTGTTTGTGGCGTCTAGTAGCGTAAAGTTAAAACACCGATTTGTTTTAATGAAAGGGCGATTCAAGGTGCAAAATAACAAGAGAATTTAGTCATTTTTCTAAAGACAATAGATCTATTTTGTTTGCACTTTGTGTCTCAGAATGCTGGTATTTTATAATGCTGAATTTCTAGCTCGACAACGAAACTCTTTTCAAGAATTTGATCGGTCGATCGCCATTCCCAGCTTCAGTCATGTTTGAAACCAAGTCTGCCTTCTCGTTGCCATATCCGTTTGCCTGTGTGTCATACTGGAGGGAAATACACGCATTTCTTAAGGCTATTAGCATGAACTAAGTACCGGACAAAATGTCAGGATTGGAACTGTAGAAAAACAACTTAAAAATAGGCATCAATGCCAGCAAACGTTTCTTACAATATTTTTATTTGGTTCTTTTGTTGTCCTCACTCCTTCAATTTTTTTCGTATATTCTTTTTCACTCAGTAACTCTCTCTGAGTCTTAGTAACTTTATTGCCTTGTTTGAGGTGAAATGATTAAAAAAAATTAACAAACCTGGTAATCATTTTGTTTTGAGAAACGTGAGAATTTTAATTAAAAGCTTAGTCGTTTTAATTTATAAATGACTTGAACTCTTCAAAAAAGAAAATGTAAAAGTGAGAATCAAAATGTAGAAATCTTCATTTCAGCTGTTTTTATATCGAAGCCCCAAAAACCGTCATTCTACACCCATTAGTAATCCATGTAGATCTTAGGTAACGAATGTAGCTTCAGCCATGAATCTCTCCTCTATTTTCTTCGGGAAGTCTGTCATGACAACTACTTTACTGATTAAACCACAGGCACTTCTGGAGATTTTTTTCTAAAATATAACCATTTCTTATTTCTCCCGACTGTACGATATGTTGTGAGGTTTATTTGTACACTATTATTATTAGTAATTAAAGTGTTTAGTAATTATTACTATTTACCCATAGCTGGAGAGAGAAGAAAAGGATTCATACCTTTCCCAAGGGTATTAGCACGTAAGTGAATGATAATAGATTCGACTAGAATTCGAACTCGGCTCTCCGATGCCTAAATCCGAGCTGCTATCCATTACTCCACCGTAGAATTCTTTAGATACTTCGCGAAGAGTATTAATTTTGTTCAAGATCATTCTAATCTCGACTATGAATACCAGCATAGCCCTCCCCGTCATAGTTGATAGTTGTTCATAAATAATGTGTTCATGCTAATAAAAAAAACAAAACAAAAAAAACCCAACACTCCATAATATCAACTATGAACATGAACACACTATCTTGACCATGTTTTGAAAATGAAAACATTATATAAATACACTAGTAGCCCGGGGATGTAACAGTAAGAGATAGATCAGGTATCGACCATCATAAAGACTGAAAAATAAAATTGACAAAGATTATTGTTTAAGGTTGACGGACACGCATGTCTTAATTAGTTTTTTTTTTTTTTTACGAATTGGTCAAACCCAAACTCAAACAAAAACATTTTCAATCATTATGAGTCTACCGATTGAATAGAATTTTATTATAAACAATTGTTAAAGCATTCTGAATGTAAAAATAAAGAAAAAAGTGTGCAAGACAATAAGAAACACTACCTGCCAAAAAAAAAAGTGAAGTTTTGTTGAAATCGGTTGATCCCATATATAAACGAACACACAGACACACACAAGCAACCTGGGTTTTTAAGTATAACTCGATATGAGTTGTCCCCCTTTCATTCTCGCGATTCCTCTTAATCGTGTTTTCAAATTGATTTCATGCAAAAACAATTGTGTTTTTCCAATTTTTGGCGCTGTCAGAACCACCACAAGGTAATTTTACGTAGTCCTGTGAAGTTTTGTTGAAATCGGTTGAAAAATGTAGGAAATCCGATCCAATATATAAACGAACAGACACACACACACACAACCTGGGTTTTATAATAAGTATGATACATGCAACAAACTATTTCTTGTTAACAGTTAATATATTTCAACTTTGAAAATGCCTAAATGTATAAAGCGCTCGGAAACAATTGGACAGTTTTTATACAATTTATCCTCCGAAAAAAAATTATAAGATCACATGATAAATTGTATAACAAACTAAATCAAAGCACCTTTTCTGTCGTATTCAATGAAACTTGCATGAAAGAAGGATTGCTGCCTAAATTCACAAACACACACAAAACACACACACAACGCACACACACACACACACACAAACACACACACACGCACACACACACACTGATATTTTTACTATAAAGTATTTTTATACTTTCATAGTTTTGTCTTGCTTGGTGGGGTGGGGCGTCACTACTTGCTCATAGCTCGGACTCTAACAGGTGCTATCAACGTGGGTCAGATTGGGACTGGGAACAATAGAAATTAAGAGGCCGTTCCAAGTTCTTTAAAATCTGCATTCTCCGGATCAGAGACCTTTCCGTCGGAGATTCTTTTGGGATGTAGCGCGGAATGCTTAAATGATTTGGGCCCATCTCTTCACCTCTATGCTTGCACATGCGCAGATCATAATCTAGGATGAGATTAAATCAGTTAAGGCTCTCCTTTCCTCTTTGTTGTTCTTGTGATGACGTTTGAAATGATTCGGTATTAGAATCTTCACCAGGCATATATGACTTTGTGAACCAATATAGTTCATCTCTTAGATGTAGAAATAGAACTGGGAAAAAGGTTTCCAAGAAAAGGAAGTTCTATTGATGTGGTTAAAAGATCGACATAGCAGGCGTACAAGTCTCTATTCAATAGATATGCTATTTCTTGGATTGTTTGATGACATCATTACCTTATCAGTTAAATCCAAATTAGGTTATTAGATGTTGACTTTCTTGCAATGGATTTGTTAATAAGATATATACATCACAATGTATATATGTAGGTTCTTCAGGGATATCTCCATAGTGCAATTATGTGTGGTATACCATACTTTTGATTCACGAGAGGTAAAACCGTAAAACTGTTTTCTATTAATAGATTCTTTTGGATGCAGCGCAGAATATGATTTTGGCCTATCACTTCACCTCTATGCTTGCACATGCGCAGATCATAGTCTAGGATAAGATTAAATTGGTTAAGGCTCTCCTTTCCTCCTTGTTGTACTCGTGATGACATTTGAAATAATTCGGTATTAGGATCTTCATCAGCCAATATATAACTTTGTGGACCGATGTAGTTCCTCTATCAGATCTTGACATTCAGTGGAGCATGGATTGATTTTTTTTACGGGTTATCAGCCCTTTACAGGTTAATTAATGCCAGGAAATATTTTTGGATTCTAAGAATCTTTTAGAGATAATAATGATTTACTGATACAAGTCCTACTAATTAACCCATAACTGGAGGGAAACGAGGTAAATTCATATCGCTCCCAAGAGCATTTGCACGTAAGGGAATATAACAAACCCGACTGAAATTTGAACTCGGCTCTCCGATTAGTAAAGCTTGGAAGACGGTTTCTAATAGATATGAATTGGGGAAGGATGTGGTTATATGCTGATGCAGGATCGACATAGCATATTTTTTTTGACAATTTTCTATTCAATAGGTATGCGATTTCCTAGAGTTTCCTGATGACATATATATTGTTATTGCACCAGTAATACTATTACTTGAAGCAATAGAGATGCCGTTCTACAGACTTATAGTAAGGATAACTTGGAGAGAACATGTGAACAATGAGGAAGTGTGAAGTAAAATGGGGAAGAAAATGATACTTATTATAGGGCGAGTCAGAGAGGACGGATTTTTTTGAAATGACTATTACTCAGTCCCATGGGAGGCATATACGTCCGATAGGTATCATTCAGTCTGTGGTGTCTTAGTTTTTTTTTGTTTTGTTTTCAGTTGTAGCCCTGGCGCTGTGGACGATAGAGCACCGCGTGTTCGACTACGACAGTTTCGTGATGAATAACGAGTCTGTCACACCATTTCAACGCGCGTTTCGTTGCCGATTCAACATTCACCGAAATAAGGCTGACACTCCTTGGTTCGCTCGGTCGCCTAATTTGTCCATGTGTGATTATTTATTGTGGGGAAACCACGAGGCACGTGTGTGTCTGAGCACAAGCCTGGCACGCTGGCCTATTTGAACGTCCAAGAAAGCCTTCAGAAATGCATCATTAAAAACGGATGTCACATGAGAGATGTTGTTTTTCACACTTGATTCTGTCAAAGGCTAATTCAATGCAAACACATTGACGTCAATAAAATTTTTGGAAGCTAAAATTAATGATGCTGGGAATTTTTCAGAAACGTCCCTCCTCTCTGCCTTACCCTGTACATAAAATCAGAAACAGACAGTGGATATTTCTGAGACAAACAGTGAGGAAATAGGGTTTGGGGAATTTAACACTCACAGGGCATACTGAAGGTAAGAGGTGCCAAACGAAACAGTTGGTATCTATCTATCTATCTATCTATCTATCTATCTATCTATCTAGCTAGCTAGCTAGCTAGCTAGCATGCTTGCTACTTAGCTAGCTATGTCTGTTAATATCTATTTATTCTTATCCAACATTTTTTAATCTAATTCTGCTCATGTATAACCATTCCCCCCTTTCTCTCTCTAGCTATATGTCTATTTCAACCCCTATTCATCTCTGGCGAAAATGCAAAGTACATATGTTAGTACACAGATCGTTGACCTATTGGTTAAAAGTCGAAAATGTTTTTGTTTTCTTCGTAAAGATAAGTTTAATCAATTTTATTAGTTTCATTTTCAATTTTTATCATTCAGTATCACTTGGTAATTGGTAATGGTAGAATTAACCGTTCCCATAGATTGGTATTTGATAAAGTTAGAATTAACCGTTCACATAGATTGTTAATCGGCAATGGTAGAATTAACCGTTCCTATAGATTGGTAATGGTAGAATTAACCGTTGACATAGATTGGTAATTGGTAATGGTAGAATTAACCGTTGACATAGATTGCTAATTGGTAATGGTAGAATTAACCGTTGACGTAGATTGCTAATTGGTAATGGTAGAATTAACCGTTGACGTAGATTGCTAATTGGTAATGGTAGAATTAACCGTTGACGTAGATTGCTAATTGGTAATGGTAGAATTAACCGTTGACGTAGATTGCTAATTGGTAATGGTAGAATTAACCGTTGACGTAGATTGCTAATTGGTATTGGTAGACTTAACCGTTGACGTAGATTGCTAATTGGTAATGGTAGAATTAAGCGTTCCCATAGATTAAACATTCAGCATTCATTGAACGGACATTTAGTGTTACTGTCGCTTGACTTTTATAAAATCTTTTTCTTAAAATAATTTTTCCGGAAATTAAGGTTTTCAAATCTTCTCTGACTGTTACCGATATTTCTACTACTGATGCGAATTTCCTTTGTAACCATTTTTTTTGAGGTGGTGTGGTAAAGTTACCATCTGGGTTATAAGATTACATTCCCGGCTAGTGACATGCTATCCATTTTTGTTGTTTTTGTTGTAACAGTTGGAAGTCTTCAAGTGATGTGTGCTTTTTTTTATTTGGTAAAGTTCTTAGTGATTATGTAGCGCCAGTCTATAGGGTTTAATGACTTAAATGATTCATTCGCGTAAAGGCATTAATCATTGATCTGAGAAACAGGTTGTATATAGATCACCATCACCATAGTCATCATCATCATCAATCATCATCATCACCATCATCATCAATCACCATCACCATCATCATCACCATCATCATCAATCTCCATCATCATCATCATCATCATCATCACCACCACCACCATCATCATCAATCACCATCACCATCATCATCAGCATCATCATCAATCACCATCACCATCATCATCAATCATCATCATCATCACCATCAATCATCACGATCATCATCATCATCATCACCACCACCATCATCATCATTTGTCGACAGTAGTCGAGATGATTGAGCGAACGATCGTTTCCTTAGCTGTATAGTATGTGCTCCGCCAGGGCCACATACAGCTTTGAATTCAAAGTTACTTTCTTCTCGACCGGTTGTCCTGTTGTTTATCCATAGCTGGGGAGAGAAGAAGAGGATTCATATATTTCCCAAGGTAAATATAATGGATCCAACTGGAATTTGAACTCGATTCTCCGAGCCGCTATCCACAGTCCTCCACAGTGTATATAAATGATTGTTTAGACAAGGGTTACCCAACCTGGGCGATATTTCCTTCTGGTGGCTATTTCAACTGGCGATGAGCAACTGAAAAGAAAATGGTGGGCGATTGGAAATTTTAGTGGGCGATAATGGATTTTGTAATGGTGATGATGAGAATAACTGTTTCCATCCAGGAAATATATGGCTTCCATTTAGCGTTTAGGAGACACAGTCGAGTAATGGATTGCGGCTAGGATTGAAGAATAGGAGAGCCGAGTTCGAATTCCAGTCGAATCCATAACATTCACATTCAAATGGTTACAAAGGAAATTCTCATCAGTAGTAGAAATATCGGGAACAGTCAGAGAATCTTAATTTCCGGAAAAATTATTATAACATTCACTTAATGCTAATACCCTTGGGAAAGGTATGAATCCTCTTCTTCTCCCACCAGCTATGGGTAAATAGCAGGATAGACTAGGTTCTGTAGCCTTGGGTGGCATCCGGTCTAGAAGAAAGTAACTCTGAATTAAAAACTGTATGAAAGCTTGGCGTAGGACATACTATACAGCTAGAAATTCGGAGATGGAGCCCCTAAGGCAGTTCGTCTCTGATTTTAGCCTCGTTTTGGCAAATCCAGCGACGGCACTGGTGCCAAACTGTAGTGGCCTTGCTGTTCCTTTGGATCCATCAGCGACGTGAAGTGTGAGGGACATGCTGCATGGGACACATGTTCTCCTCCATTCCATCCTAACCAGGCTTGATCCTACCTTGCAGATGGGTGGGATAAAATCCATGGTCATTGATGACTGGCGGAGGCCTATTTAGCGTTACTGTCAGTTGAAATTTATAGAAACAGTTTTTCAGGAAATTAGACTTCTCAAGTCCATTAACTGTTATAGCTCCTTCTCTTGGTGAGTTTCCTTTCAAATTTTTGGTTCTTGAAAGTCTAGAAAAATCAGCAGTTTAATTATATAATTATTTTCTTTTCTAGTTAAATGGGCTACTCATTTTTGTTATTGTTGCTGTTCAAGTGGTTTTGTTTTTGTTATTATATCCTTTTTTAATCATTTCTCCCCAAGCAAGGCAATAATGCCACTAAGACACAAGAAGTTACTGAGTGTAAAAGAATAAGAAAAGGAGAACATTATTAAGGAGGGAGAAAAATAAAAGAAGAGCAATCAAGAAAACCGTAGATGACGGTTGACATTACATTTAATTTCTTGATGATTAAAATGTTTGCTAGAAAGTAAGAAGCTGGAAGAGAGATCCACAAGCAGGAAGTGCGAAAAAAGAAACTGCTAACAAAAAGTTACAGTTACATCTAATCCAAAACTTCTGTAAAATGATGAAAACTTCCTGCCAATCTCGTAATGCGTTTAAATTTATTAAGTCTATGTACCAAAAAAGGAAAGCTCATCAGATCAAATACCATGAAAGTATTCATAGAAAAGGCAGAGAGAAGCTACATTACGGCGGTGGAATGTGACTAAATTCGGGATGCCAGGTCAGGACCAATAACATTGCAGATTCTTCTTTGGATTTGATCAACAATCTCTAAATATATATATATAGCAAGAGCGCCAAAACATATGTGGCAGCAATACTCGAAGCATGACGAATGTTCAAGAAGTTATGTGCCATATGTGATACACGCTTAGGCGATCATGTATCTTTCGATACATGACTGACGAGGAAGATTTTTCCCACATTTCTTTCTGCGGTAGACCAGTTGCTATCCAAGTCTATAGAACCTGGTCTGCGCTGCTATTTACTCATCGCTGGAAGAAGAGGATTTATACCTTTCCTAAGCGTATTAGCACTTAAGTGAATGCAATGGATTCGACTAGAATTCGAACTCGTCGAGCCGCTATCCGTTACTCCACCGTGACGAATGTTAGTCTTATAAATAAGAGAGCTTTTTGTTTGTGACTATGCAGCCCTTGTCTATAGATCACCTTCTTAAAGTTTATAAGATTGCTTCGTTTGAACCCTTTTTTAAGAATTGATTTTGAAAAAAAACCAAAAAGCAAAAAACCCCCAAAAACAAAAAAATCCAAAAAACAAAACAAAAAAACAAAAAACAAAAAAACAAAACAAACAAAAAACAAAAAAATGCAAAAAACACCCCCCCCCAAAAGCTCGTATGTAGAAGATAGTTTGGGCATTTCTGAATGTGATGAACGCCATGCATGATATTCCCATGAAAGTTTAAATCTGGCGAGGGTATTTTAGAATATGACCAATTCCTTATTTGGTTTCATAGCAGCTTTCAACACTGGGCAAAAGTACCTGTAGCGCTATACATCCTGTGTTCAATTTCCTTATTTCCTATACTAAAATGCAAACAAAACATTTAACCATCTTTAATATTTAATAGAACTCATAAGATTAAATCGTTTAAGCACTCGCATAGAAAATGTCTCGTCATGAAATAATCGTAAGATTCAAAATGGATGAAAAACTAATTGGGGACTACGATTTAGGAGATAAGCCAAGGATAGTTCAAAAGAAATAAGAGGGTAGAGAAAAAGACCGAAGAAACGAAAGAAAAGAAAGAAAGAAAGAAAGAAAGAAAGAAAGAAAGAAAGGAAGGAAAGGAAGAAAGAAAGAAAGAAAAAAAGAAAGAAAGAAAGAAAGAAAGAAAGGAAGGAAAGAAAGAAAGAAAAGAAAGAAAGAAAGAAAGAAAGAAAGAAAGAAAGGAAGGAAGGAAGAAAGAAAGAAAGAAAGAAAGAAAGAAAGAAAGAAAGAAAGAAAGAAAGAAAGAAAGAAAGAAAGAAAGAAAGAAAGAAAGAAAAGAAGGAAAGAAAGAAAGAAAGAAAGAAAGGAAGAAAGAAAGAAAGAAAGGAAGGAAAGGAAGAAAAGAAGGAACAACGTAGGCAGGATAGGATGAAGAACATAATGAATGAGTGGAAAACAGATTTGAGGATAAAGAAAGGCAGCAGAGTCACGGAATTAAACACAACGGATGAAAAGAAAAAAGAGAAAGGGAAAAGAAAAAGAGAAAAGGAAAAGAGGAAGAGAAACGAGAAAGAGAAAGGAACTGAGAACTAGAAAAAGAAAAAGAGAGAGTGGAAGGGAACAGAGAAAAAGAAAAAGAAAAGAGAAACAAAAAAGAAAATGGTTTAGAAATTTTGCATAAATGATAACGAGTAAAAGCTTTAATTTAAAGAATGCAAAGAAAGAAAATGAAAACAGATTATCATTGTCAGGATAATCGAAAGAGTAATCATCATCATCATCATCATCATCATCATCAGTCCCATGTCCAGGTGTGGTCGAAGGGTCACTGCGCAGCTGAGTACCTGACAAGTTCTCTCCACATATCTGGGTTGAAAGCTGGAGAGGCACTCATTCACGCATGAAAGTAGCCCTGGCGAGATCCATCTCCCTCTAGGTCCAAACCACATCCGATGTTCTCCAACTTGTTGTCTTATCTTGGTCATAGGAAAGTAGCTGTTGATTCCACCGAGAAGACATCATGTCCGTTGTCTTCAGACTGAGGAAGCCCTTCGCCCAGCGATGCAGAGTCATTAACTCATTGGTTGCATACATAGTTATGAAACCGAGTCCATCACATTGTGCTAGATAACCTTTGACCCTATAAAAAGGTTCATGTACCCTTAAACAAATTTTGTTTTTAACCCTGCTGGTTATGTAGCTACTCTATTCATACCCCCCACCTGTTTTAGTCGTCGATAATACGATCAGTTGGCTGTTAGTATAGGGTTACATGGTACCAGAAGCATTCAGAGAGTCACGTGACATAAAAGGAGTAGGAAACGAACGGAAGTCAGTAACATCAACAACAAAAAAAGAAAAATTATAAGAGTAAGGGGGGCATAAAGAAGAGAAAAGAAAAAAGGAAAAAAGAAAAGGAAAAAGGAGAGAAAAAAGAAACGGTGAAAAGGAGAAAGAATTCAAATTTAGGTGGAAACAGGGAAGAGCTAGATGAAAAAAGAAGGAAGAAAAGATGGAAAGAGGAAGGCGAAGTATAGTTAGTAAAAATGAAGAAGAATCGAATCGAGCGTATGGAAGGGGAAGATGAAGAAGAAAAAGTAGAAAAAAAATGGAGGCTGTAAAAGAAAAAAAAAGAACGAATTACGAATGGAAGAGGAAGAAGATAATAAAAGAGAAAGTGAGGGATATGGCAAAACAACACGTGTGTGATGACGTAGATGACGACGAGGAAAAAATGGTGGAAAATAAAGTTTAGAAGAAGAAGAACGGGAGGAATAAAGAGAAGGGAAGGAATAAAAGGAATGGAAAGAAATACAGTAGAAGACTAATAAATTGTATTTCGTAGAAGAAAAAAATTGAAGAATAACGGAAGAAATTAGGAAAGGAGATGAAGGAAATATGTTAAAACGAAACTTGGAAGAAAACCAATGTAAACAGTAACAAGAAAATAAAAAAGGAAAAAAAAACATTTCGAAAATGCAGAAGAAGAAAAAAAGAAAAAAAGAGGAAGGAGTGAAAGAAAAAAAAGATAGTGAGGTAAAAGAAAGAGCAGGAGAAGTTCAAGAAGAAAGAAAAGGAATACAAGAAGAAAAAAAGACAAAGTTAAAGAGAAGGAGACGGAGGAGAAAAAGAACGAGGTATTCCTGTTATTTTTAATGTTGTTTCGTTCTCTTTCTCGTCTCTCTGACAGGTGACGGCCTCACGGGACAAAGAAATGGTGGACGATGAGCAAGGAAAAAGGGGGAAATATTAGGTTGCTATCATCTATTCTGATTTAATTCAATCCTTAACGAAGACGAACGCCGCCGAGGATGAGCTTAGCGGGGAAAGTGCAGCAGTAATCATAATAATGCTAATTGGATTATCCAACTAATCCAGATTTGCTGATTCTACAATCAAAATGACTTAGGGAGACGGTGTATCAATTGTCTTTCTCCCGATCCCCGGTCGTTTTATTTTTATAAAGGATAGTAACGGTCGGTGATTAGATTGATAAACGAGAATGAAGAGAGAGAGAGAGAGAGAGAGGGAGAGAGAGAGGGAGAAAGAGAGAGGGGGAGAGGGAGTAGAGAGAGAGGGGAAGATGAAAGAGAGTAGAGAGAGAGAGGGAGATAAGAGAGAGTTTGTAAAGTGAGAGAGGGAGATGAGAAAGAGGGAGAAAGAGGAGAGAGAGAGAGGGGATTGAGAGCGAGGGAGAGAGAGTAAAGAGAGAGAGAGTGAGAGAGGGAGACAGAGAGAAAAGTCGGGTCAAACCGGAAGGAAGAAGAATGTTGGTGGAAATGGAGAAAGGGGGAGATAAAGTAATATTTGTTTTATTTGCAACGAAACAAGCTTATTGGCAATGGTAATAGCAGCCGTTTCCTTACAAGGAAACATTCGGCGTTCATTGACCGAGCAGCCAGTACTACCGCCGTTTGAAATTTATAAAATCTTTCTCTTAAAACAATTTTTCAGGAAAATAACTTTGTCAAGTCCAATAACTGTCATCGCTTTTTCCAGTATTGATTGAAGTTTCTTCTTTCTCACGTTGAAACACCAATTCCCGTACGATCTCCGAAGTTAGGCAACGTCGAGCCTGGTCAGTAACTAGATGGGTAACTGCTTCAGAATAACAGCTGTTGTAAGCTTGGGTGTGTAGGTAGTGTAATAGATAATAGCTCGGAATTGTTAATTGGAAAGCCGAGTTCCAATTCCCGTTGGGTTCGTTATATTCACTTACACACAAATAACCTTGGGAAATGTATGAATCCACCTCTTCTCCCCCAGCTATGGGTTAATTAGTATGACTTGTATTACTAAATCATTATTATCAAAAAAAAATATCTTTCAACCTAAAAATATTTTATGGCTTTAAATAACCTGCAAAGGGTTGATAAGCCGTAGAAAACTCGTCAATCGACCAATATAACCTTTTATCTGAAGTAGAGTAGAATGCCAACATTTTTATTATGTCATTATTTTCTCTTTATATGAAATATCCGTTTTAGTTGTTACTGCTTTTGAATGTCCTCAATTGATGTGGTAATGGTTCCTGTTATCCGGTACAGTTCTTTGCTTGTGATTCTGTAGTGAAAAAGGGTGGTCTTCGCCAAGACACACAGGCCTCACTAACTCAAAACCATTTTTACCATTGATCTAAGACAGCGGTGGTATACAGCTGACACTTTAGATATTTCTGGACGGGTTTGGCACCATACATGCCATCCTATACTAAACGTTTTTTTTATAACTGATCCATACGCTGAGGTATTTGAAGTGCTTAGTACCGCCTAAAAATCAACTTCAAATAACAACTTATTTAAAAAAAGACGTCACTTTTATTTATTGTAAGTGGAAGCGAGCAATAGAAACACAGATACAAAATATGGGCTCTACTGTGTTTGTGTGTTGTTTGAAGGTAGGTGACTGCTGTTGGTAATATCATTACTCTTACTACTACAGCTGCTGCTGTTGATGTTTCCTTTTCGTTGATATAATGCAACAAAAAAAAAAAGAAATTGAAAAATATAAGTGTTGCTGAAAATTAGAAAAAGAACCTTATAAAAATGCCTTTGTCTATCTTTCTGAGATTACGTATTGTAACTATTTTCCCTATTTACATCGTTCGGGCTATTGTCCTCATCTTTATTGCCATCTTCACGACGTTTCGGCCGTTGTACGCTTAGGTCTTCTTCAGGTGATATACGTTGGAATTACGAACTGGACCCTTTATTTAGTCCACGCGAGTATATTGTTCTAATTTCACGTACCTCCAAGATTCCCAAAAAGTCATGGCACATGGAAATACTACATTCTACCCGCGTGGACTAAATAACGGGTTCGGTTCAAAATTCCAACGTTTATTATCTGAAGAAGGCCGGAGCATACAACGACCGAAACGTCGTGTATATAAGAATAACGATGAGGACGACAGTTCGAACGATGCAAATAGTGTAAAAAAAAAAGCCTTTGTCACTTTTCATTCTCTTCCACTACCAGTTAGCCTTTGTGCCTTAGCAGCCTGATCGCCTTGCTTGGTTTGAAATGATAAAAAAACAAAACAAAAAGTGAAAAAAAATCTTTTTATATAAAAGATGTTATTCTCTTAAAATTGTTTTTAATGCCATGTCTCCTACAAGACTTTGGTAATTGTGGCTGCCCTCAGAGGCTTTTTTGTTTTTATTATCGCTGAATTAAAATGAAATCTTGGGAAAGATGGTGGAATCGTTTCTCGTTGCTTTTTCCACGGATTGGAATTCAGTTTTCGTTCTCTTAGACTTATTGCCACTCAAGGATGGAGAGTTCAGTCTACCCTGTTATTTAACCATTATTTAGAGAGAGAGAGAGAGAGAGAGAGAGAGAGAGAGAGAGAGAGAGAGAGAGAGAGAGAGAGAGAGAGAGAGAGAGAGGGGATGGATACCTACCGGTCCCAATAGCATTTGTGCGAAAATGAGTGCAATTGAAGTTGAACTCGGTTCACCAATTCTACCGCCTGATCTGTTAACAGTTCCAACACCTCTAGTCGTAATCTATTATTTTATTGTTCACTGCTTTTAAAAGTTAAAAAAAAGAATACTTTAATAATCTAATAATATAATGCTGAAAGATTGTGTCTGATTGCATGTCAGCCCGAAAACGTGAAAATGAAATATGTAATATTGGTTGTCTGCCCATGAGCAATTATTACGGACAAATTAAATTTAAAAAAAATAACTTTTTTTTTTGTTTTTTATTTATTTCAAATCAATATTTTCTTGATCTTCATGGATGAGTGATTGTTTTGTTGATAGCTACTATAAGTGAATTAATTAGTTATTCAAATAAAAACGTTTTTTCGTAAAAGTGGTAACGACATGAACATTTAGATCACAGTTTGTGAGTTAATGAAAAAATTAATGTTGACATTTTTCAATAGTATTTTTTTTACATTAAAAGATTATTAATTTACATTTCTGAATTTTTTAAAAAAGTATTTGTCAATATGAAAGAATACAATAAAGAATTTGTTAATATAAAAGAACACAAGAAAAGATTTGTTAATATAAAATAATGCAACGAAAGATTAGTTAATATAAAAGAATAAAATAAAAGATTTACTATAAAAGAATAAAATAAAAGATTTACTATAAAAGAATAAAATAAAAGATTTGTTAATATAAAACAATAAAATAAAAGATTTGTTATTATAAAAGAAAACAATAAAAGATTTGTTCAGAAAACTGAACAAAATATTCGATTTTTTTTAATTGCAGATTTTCTGTTTACATTTATTGAGTTAAATTTGAACAGAAAAGTAAATTTTATCGCTAAAACCGAACGAAATACTCTTTTTTAATGGATAAAATTATACTTTTTTACGCTTTATTCAATATTTTCAACTCTGTGATAAAGTTTTCTACTCTTTCTTATTCAATATTTTCAATTCTATGATGAAGTTTTCTGCACTTTCTACGCTTTCTCATAGTCGATGTTAATATTGGGGACAAACTTTTCCTGTCTATAAAATGCTTCCTTGTCATGCGTCTCAAATAACCTTTGACAACGAAGTCCAGCTCCCAGCTGGAAAATGAACAAAGGCGGGAAACTGGCGCCTCATAACCAGTGGCTGCTGGTAGATGGAGCTCGACATCCTGGGAAGGCAGTCTATTTAGGGGGAAGGAAAATCCTGATTTGAACCTCCGTTGCCTTACGGTAATATCAAAAACACGGAAAAGGCTCTGGAAGTAAATCCAGACAGAAAACCTGAGATGGAACCTCGAATGCGGTTTGATGTCAACACTGACATCTTTCCGGCAACTTCTGCAGCCAATCGTACCCAAATGCAATGTCCTGTATTCCTTTGAATTTTGTCCTTACTCTCTTGAGAGTGGAGACATGTAGTCTGGGTAACGTTCAGCCTACATATACAGTGCCCAGGCCCGCACTGTGATGAGGTCACTTCAGTATCACTACCAAAGGACGGAATTTTGACCAAAGAGGGGCGCTACCTTTATGTCACTAGATAAACGGATGTGTGTCTACTACTCTTTATTTAATATTTTAAATTCATGATGACTGGAAAATTCAGAATTAATTATAATAATAAAAATAAAAACTTGGTATGAATTTAATCTTTCTTAAGAAAATTCAGAATTAATCAATAGTTTATAAATATCCGGTATTAATTAGAGGTTTCTAAGAAAAAACAGGTATTAATTATAGGCTTATAAAAAAAATCCAGCATTAATTACAGGTTTCTACCTGTAATTCATTAATGATCATTTTACCCAAATAGGATGATAGGCATTAATAGGTTGATTTTTTTTTCTGATAAAAAGAAACCTCATGTTGCACGGGATGTATGACAAATAGCACCGTCATACTGAAAGAATGCTCCATCGTCGTGGACTAATAATAAAAGAATGCTTCATCGTCGTGGACTAATAATAAAAGAATGCTCCATCGTCGTGATCTGGCAGATTAAACCGAATTAGATTAATTTTTGTTTTCGCTGTTTTAGGCTTTCATCAACTTTTACCAATTTTCTTCTACCACCGGTTTTGATGCAACCCCACGCCATCATGTATCCACTTTGTGGTGTATCTTGCATTGTTTCGTTCTCCCTTAGTTTGCTTACATATTCTCTTGCATTAGAATATAACTCTGTGTTTCATACATCACTAAAAATTACTTTTTGTCACTTTTCAGATGTTCTTTGAACCACTTCAATCTTGTAATCCGATGTTTGTTTTTAGTTAATAGTGTTTTTATTTGCTGCTGTACACCCGTTCAATTTGTTTTTGTTCGTAATACTCGTATTAAATTAATCAAACAAATAAACAAGTAAATAAACTAAGTAAACAATAAATAAATGAACAAATCACGCCCACCGTAGACGTTAGAATAAGCGCTAGACTAATAAAATATATTACCCACAATGCAATAGACTACCCACAATGCATCACTGGCATATATATATAAAAAGTCGAGTAAAAACACAATGCACATGCCCAGACGATTGTGTTTTGCATAGACTGTCTATGCACTGGGTGTTAACTTCAGTGTGCACTATATATATATATATATATATATATATATATATATATATATATATATATATAACACATCCGTACACACACACACATATATACATATTAATTTGCATTATTCTGTTCTGTCCCAACACACACACACACACATATATATATATATATATATATATATATATATAGAGAGAGAGAGAGAGAGAGTTTAATATATTCATGATATATAATATACAATGGATGGATAAATTGTCTTCTACGGTACGCAGAATTAAAAATAACACTGACAGCTCATTTTAACAGATATGTTTATGAAAATGACACAAGAATATCTTGATGTTAGTAATGGAGCTTCCGCTGCAAATGCCAAGCATTTTCCAAATTTCTGGCGGAGGGAATTGCGTCATGGTGCTTTTTTTCTCTTACAGACGATGCCCAACTGACTCTACTATACTTTGAAAATCAAAAACAAACAGCGCGCATGCACGTAATTAAAAATATAAAATGGCGACAACTTATACATCACACCCTGTATCGTTAAATATATTATGAATTTCAATTATATTTTAGACTTTTATTAATTTAATTAAAGCATAAATATAAATTAATTATTTTAATGTTTATAAACAATAATTCAGAATATAAATATGCGTACTTGTATATATACATACATACATATATATACATATATTTATGTATATATATATATATATATATATATATATATACATATATATTTATATGTGATAAAATATAGTTATAAGGTATATTAAGAAAGTTCATTATATATATATATATATATATATATATATATATATATATAATAAAAGTGAACATAGAAGTCAACACTTAGAGGCGACAGTCTGTTTTATGCTATATGCAATCGTCAGGCCAGATATATATATTAATGTTTTTTCTATGTATTTTAATCGCGCTACCCAAAGCAAGTAAAGCCACTAAGATATAAGGGATTATTAGGTGTGAAAAAAATTTAAAAACAAAAACATTACTAAGGCGCAAAAACATACGAAGAATAATGAGGAGGACAGCAGGTAGAGATTGACATTGCATTTAGATTTTTTTGAGATTAAAGTTGACTGGAAGGCCAGGAGCTAGAAGAGATCTCACGGCTATATCTAGCTAGCTCAACTGTAATCTGATGCGATCCTGTCACCAGTGTAGTACTGCGCTTAAATTCATACAATTTAACTACCATAGCGAGGAGCTCATCCAAACAATTACCATAAAAGGATTTATAAAAAAAAGGCACAAGGAAACAATTTTACGGCAGTGGGAAAGTGACTAATGCGAAGATGCCAAATCAGGACCAATAATATTGCAGATTCTTCCTTGGATTTCATCTATGATCTCTAGATATATAAGAGGAGCACCGGAGTCATTTGTGGCAGCAATATTCTATGTATGTCCAAATGGTAGACTTATAGATATGTAAGATAGATTCAGGAGAGAAAAATTATCGAGCACGATCCACTGAACCAACTTTCTTAGCAGCTGACCTAGCAATTGATTTTATCGAACTGATCAAACTTATTACCGAGGCATTTGAGAGCTGATGTCATTGGGAAGGTCGTTAATGAAAACTGAAAACAACGTAGGACTAAAGATAGAGTCTTGCAGTAGTACAAACGGATCTAGAAGAGTGGCCGTTCAGGATAACTTTCATTTCGCGATTTGATAAGAAAGACTCGATCAATTCAAAAAAATTTTACCGGAGACATCGTAACTTTTCAACCTCTGAAGAAGACCTGTATGCCAAACCTTGTCGAAGCTTTCGAGATGTCCAAAGCAACAGCCCGAGTTTCGCTATTCTAATCAAGTGCTTGATAGACTCTTTCCCCAATTAGCAGTTGAGCTAGAGAAGCGGAAGTCATATTGATTTTCTGAAAGAAGGCCTTGCGATGTGAGATACTTAATCAATCCAGCATTCACTAGTGCTTCCGGTAGTTTCCCCAAAAAAGAGGTATGAGGCTAATATGGTCGATAGTTGGAAGGGAGGACGGTTCAACGGAGTTCTTAAGAACTGGAAAACAGATGAGTATTTCCAACAAGCAGGAAAACAAAAGTCAGCGAGGCATTTACTATACAGTTTAGAGAGAACAGGAGTCAGTTTGTGAGCACACTTCTTAAGGACTATTACATGGACACCATCAGGTTCGCATGCTTTGTGTAGATCCAGATTAGATATGATAGCAGAAACCATGAAAGTAGTTTTATGCATATCACTCAACAGAGACTCAGTTCTAAGTGGAAAGTTGGGCAAGGGTACTCAAGATGAGTCAAGAGTAGAGAAGCTATGGGCAAAGCATTCAGCTTTATCAGTGGAAGAAGGTAACACCCCAATTTCTTTGCTATATTTATAGGTGGGGAGAGTAGAGAGAGAGAGAGGGGGAGAGAGTAGAGGGAGAGAGGTGATGAGAGAGAGGGAGCGAGAGAGAGAGATGAGAGAGAGTAGAGAGAGAGGGGATGGGAGAGAGGGAAGAGAGTAGAGAGAGAGAGGGAGAGAGAGTAGAGGGAGAGGGAGAGGGTGATGATGAGAGAGATTGTAGAGAGAGAGAGAGGGAGATGAGAAAGAGGGAGAAAGAGAAGAGTGAGAGAGAGGGGATTGAGTGAGAGAGCGAGAGAGAGAGTAAAGAGAGAGAGAGAGAGAGGGAGATGAGAGAAAGGGAGAGAGTTGAGACAGAGAGAAAAGTCGGGTCAAACCGGAAGGAAGAAGAATGTTGATGGAAATGGAGAAAGGGGGAGATAAAGTAATATTTGTTTTATTTGCAACGAAACAAGCTTATTGGCAATGGTAATAGCAGCCGTTTCCTTACAAGGAAACATTCGGCGTTCACTGACCGAGCAGCCAGTACTACTGCCGTTTGAAATTTATAAAATCTTTCTCTTAAAATAATTTTTCAGGAAAATAACTTTGTCAAGTCCAATAACTGTCATCGCTCTTTCCAGTATTGAGTGGAGTTTCTGATTGGAGGCAAAGCCTTTATAGATATAGGCAGTTTGAAGAAAGGTATCTGCATGGTGACTATCAGTTTCACTCCCCAGGCGATCTTCAAACCATGCCGTGCTGATTACGATGTTCTCTCTCTCATCTTTCACACACACACACACACACACACACACACACACACACACACACACACACACACACACACACACAAATATATACATGTATAATTAAGTATATTATGAATTACAATTATATTGAAGACTTTTATTAAATTTAATTAAACAATGTATAAACTTAATTATTTAATGGATTATAAACGAGACTTCATAATAAAAATAAATTGCCTGAACATGTGTATGTGTGTGTGTGTATTTTCTGTTGTTTGAATACATGTCAACATATATAATTTTCATGAAGTTGAAATTAACCTGCGATAATTGTTTTAAGCCAAAGTGACGAAAAAGGGGAAGAGAAATGCATTAGAAATAAATAATAAAAAATACCCCCCCGCCGTCAATCTACGAAAATGCTTGTAGGTTTTTCTTATCGTCAAATGTGGTATAGTACTTTAATCTATTGGTAATTCGTCTTGAATAAAGAAATGCTTTCAAACCAAACTTGACAGAAAATTCTCGGTTCATGACACACACCCACATGAACGCGAACACCCACCTATCTGTATGCACGCACACACACACACAAACACACATACACACACATATATATATATACTAAAAAAAGGACGGCTATAGACGTGACTCGAGTTTTTTCTTTTATATGATTTAACCTTGATAATCGTTTTTTTTTTTGCTCTTTTTAGGCAATCTAGGCTTCGAGCACTTTACTGAGTAGATAAGTTTGCTTCCTCTCCTTTTTTCTCTTTCTTTATTCAGTATTGCCGTCTTTATTCGAGACCGTATCTGAATAATTTGGCAAGCTGTCCGTTGGTTTCACCAACGAATTTTGATTTTTCTTTAAGAATATATATATATATATATATATATATATACACTTCTATATTCGTTCAATATCTCACAGTACCTCGACAAATAATCAAATCTTAAATAATAGGATTTTATATATATATATATATATATATATATATAAACGTGCACACTGAGATCAGCATCAAACGGCGACAGTCTGATACATGATTCAACGCAATCTTTAGGTCATGGTGATTGTGTTGAAGCATGAAACAGACTGTCGGCATTTGATGCTGTCGTCAATGTTCACTCTTATATTTACACATGTCCTATTCCTGATATTGAATATATATATATATATATATATATATATATATATATATATATATATATATGTGTGTGTGTGTGTGTGTGTGTGTGTGTGTGTGTGTGTGTGTGTGTGTGTGTATATAAAATATTGCACAATTAGTTTTCAATCGGTACATGGAGAGTTGAACAAAAAAGAAAAATGTATATTTATTATTAATAGTACACACACACACACACACACACACACATATATATATATATATGTAGGAAGAAATATAGTTTTAAGTTGTGCTATATTCAAGGAATAAAGTGCTCAATACCAGGGATAGAGCGTATGTAAATATAAAAGTGAACATTGAAGTCAACACTCAGAGGCGATAAACTGTTTCATGCTAGACACAATCACCTGGCCACATGTGTTGGATTTTTTCTCGACTATTTATATATATGGGTTAGTGGTGCATTGTGGGTAGTCCATCCTAACAGCTATTTATTTCACAAATAGTAAATACGCGAACAACACAATGCTTTCTAAGTATATATTGGAAATTACAAACAAAACGCAAATCACACCAAAAATATCATGGAAAATAAGGACAAGAACATCAGCCTACAACAATTAATACAAATCCTGCAAACTTTGCTTGGAGGAAAAAATAGCTATTATCACCTTCCCAGACCAAAACAAACTACTATATAAACGATCTGAACTCATCTCAAAATGCAGACGTGAAAACAAATTTTTATTACGTTATTTAAAAATCGAAACTGAAAAGAATAAATAAAAAAACAAAAAAAACATGTAAAATAAATTAACCCAAGCAAATAATAAACAAATTAACAAACCACTTACGCCATAACAACCGTTAGAATAGACGAAAAAGAATAAATAAAAAATAAATAAGAAAATACGAGTAAAAATAATCAATCCAAATAAATAAATAAAGTAAATAATAAACAAATTAACAAACCACTCCAGCCAAAGTAACCGTTAGAATAGACTACAGAAATCAATCCAAAAATTGGACGAAAAATAGCTTTAATTACCTTTCCAGACCAAAACAAACTATTAAATAAACGATCAAAACCAATTTTGAAAAAATTATTTACTACGTTACTAAAACATCAAAAATCGAAAAGTATAAATAAATATGTTAAATAACCCCCCCCAAAAAAAACACGCAAAATAAATGAATCCAAATAAATAAATAAATGAATGAACAAACTTCCGCCAAAATAACAGTTAGAATAGACTACCCACAATGCACCACTGCTCCATATATATATATATATATATATATATATATATATATATATATATATATATATAGTCGAGAATAAACCCAACACACGTGGCTTGATGATTGCGTCTAGTATGAAACAGTCTGTCACCTCTGATTGTTGACTTCATTTATATATATATATGTGTGTGTGTGTGTGTGTACTTAGGCAGCAATCCTTCTTTCGTGCACATTTCATTTAAAATGACAGAGAAGGTGCTTTTATTTAGTTTTTTTATTTAATTTCTCATGCGATCTAATAATTTTTTCTTTTCGAATGTTAAATTATATAAAAACTGTTAGAATGTTCCTTTTTAGCCGAGCGCTTTCGGCTATACATTTAGCCATTTTCAGCGATTATATCTTAACTGTTAAATAAGAAATAGTTTGTTGTATGTATGTTTTATGAAATGTTTAGGAGCTGAATTATTATTTTTAACTATGAGGCTAGAGGTTTTTAATATTTTGTAATAAATAATTAATCTAATGTCTTTGCTATTGTCAACTGGTGCTATGCATTTTTTATATAATGTTCTTAATTCTGCATTCATCATGTTTATAAATTTCGTTCATCTGATTTTTATAAAAAAATATCAATGTTATTGTTTATGTTTCTATTCTCGCCGTTGCTATTAGCTACCTTAGACAGGAAACGCCTAATGTCAACATATATATATATATATATATATATATATATATATATATATATATATATTCATGGTATCCAGTGGCATGGGCACGTAAAGAGTCCGTGCGAACTATTTACTAAAAATACACGCGTTCAAAACTTGTTTTGAAATTTCCTTAACATTTAAATACATCGACAAAAATTGGTATCTAAAAAAGAGAAAAAGTATTCACAAAATAATTTCGCACGATACACACGCGCGCACACGCACACACAGACACACACGCACGCACGCACACACACGCATGCGCACACCGACGTACGCACATATATATATACATGTAAAATTCAGATATAAATAAATGTATCTGCAAAGACAAAAGAAATGACAAGAGGAAAACATTTTATGTCAGTGCATAAAAAATGTACAGCACTTACATTTTACACTTTTCCTCCCTCTGCTTAACGCCGAGAGTGTTTTTCGAATATTTTAGAGTGTTCTCTAATTCAAATTTGAAGGCAGACCTTTATTTTTTTCCGCATTATTGTTTCTGCGGCTTAAATACAAGTTCCGAAATAAAATTTCTACGTTTGTCTTGTTAAAGTTCCTCTAGGAACGAAAGGCCTTGCTGTGAAAAGATTTCCTGTTGTCATGTGTATATATATTTAATCATTTCACCCCAAGCAAGCCAATAAAGCCACTAAGACCCAAGATGTTACTGAGTGTGAAAAAATATGAGAAAAAGTAAAACATTACTGATAAGAGATTACAATAAAAGAACAGGAATTAAAAAGACTGCAGATAAAAATTGCCATTGCATTTCAATTTTTGAAGATCAAAGTTGGCTGGAAAGCAAGTTACCAGAAGAGAATTACACAAGCAAGAATTGTGGGAAAAGAAACTTTTAGAAATAATTAACGCTTACATCTATTTATTTCAACTGTAAAATGATGAGGCCTATATGACAATCTAGTACAGCGCTTAAATTGGTAAAGTCTAGGTACCAAAGAGCAAAGGTCATCAGAACAATGTATGCATTTTTTGAAACATTTATATTTGTGTACTTTGTTGTGTGGCAAAACATGCATTGATTTATATTTGTAATTGGGTGTAAGTGTATTTTTAATCTATTTGCTTTTGTATATATAAATTCCATTATATATATATATATATATATATATATATATATATATATATATATATATATATATATATCAATATATATTACTATATTATAATATATTGTATAATATATATTATTATATAATATATATATATATTATATTATATAATATATATTATTATATTATAATGGTGCATTATTAGGTATTATATAATATATATATATATATTGTGCATTGTGGTATTATATAATATATATATATAAATTATTATATATATTATATATGGTTATTATATATATTATTATTATATTATTATATATATATTATAATTATATTATTATATTATATATTATATATATATTAGATATATATATTATATTATATAAAGAAATATAGTCTTAAGGTGTGCTATATTTATGGGATAAAGTGCTCAATATCAGAGATAGAGCGTGTGTAAATATAAAAGTGAACATAGAAGTCAACACTTAGAGGCGACAGTCTGTTTCATGCTATATGCAATCGTCAGGCCACGTGTGCTGTTATTTTTTCTCGGCTATTTATATATATACGGGTTAGTGGTGCATTGAAGGCGGTTTGTTTTTTAAATGAACAAAGCGACTTTGTTCAAAATAAAAGCGACTTCAATAGAATAACTTTAAATGCACCACTAACCCGTATTTATATTATATTATATATATATATACATTATATATAATATATATGTATCATATATTATATTATATATTATATATATTATATTATTATTATTTATTATTATATATATTATTATTATTGTATATATATATTGTTATATATATTATTATATTATTTCTATTATATATATTATTATTATTATATTATTATATATATATTATATATATATATTATTAAATATATTATTATATTATTATTATATATATTATTGTGTTTTGTGGTATTATATAATATATATATATTATATTATATAATATATATTATTACAATGGTGGGTAGTCCATTCTAGCATATGAAATTACAAATATATATATACATAATTTATTAATTTATAATATTAATGGTCTGTAAATTTATATTGAGCATTATTTGGTAAAAAATAAAAATATCAATAAGAACACCGGATTACATAAATTACTCTTCTTTCTTTATATATATATATATATATATATATATATATATATACTATTATAATATTTTTATTATAAAACATTTTACATCGCTACACAAAAATTTCAATGCTTCGTGCTTCAAAGAATTTTGTTGTTTGCTCGCTCAACAGCGCCCCAGTCATATATATATATTTTTTTCTATTTTTTTTTAAAGCATTACGCCCCGAGCAAGGCGTAAAGCCACTTGGATGCAGGGGGTTGCAGAAGATTTGGAGCGTGAGCAAATAGGAGTGATAGAAGAAAGGATGATGAGAGGGATAGTGGGTAGATCAAGGTAACTGGAGGTGTCGATTGACATTACATTTGAATGTAATAGTTGGAGATTATAGCTCTCAGGGAAGGGTGTTCCACAGATGAGAGGTGCGAGGTTTGAAGCTAATGGAGTAGAAGAGACAGCTACATTTAAAAGCTTCTATAGTGTAAGGGTGAGAGCGGGATGCCAGCCTCGTAGGGCGCTTGAATTCATGGAGTCTGGGAACCAGTGAAAGCGGCTCAGCGGAGCAATTACCATGAAAATATTTGTAGAAAAGACAGACAGAGGCGACGGCGCATCTGTGAGAGTGTGACTGTAGACGAGACCAATTATATTACATATCCTTCTCTGGATCTTGTCAAGAACTCCGAGGTAAACAGAAGGTGCCCCAGACCATATATGGCAGCAATATTCCATGCAAGGGCGAATGGTTGATTTGTATATTTGAAGTATCGATTCCGGGGTAAAAAATTTCCTGGCGCGGCACAGAGAGCCAACTTTCTCGCGGTGGACGATGCAATTGACACAATGTATTTATATATATATATATATATATATATATATATATATATATATATATATATATATATTTTGAGTGTGTGGGGGGATCAGATCATGATGCGAGATTGAAAATTGGGAAAATCAAACTACTTTAAAAAAAACCATTAATAGAAAATACGGGTTTGGTTGGGCTCGAACACTTAACGCTTGCTTGACGTTATCTTTTCTTGACACGCGTACATTAATTAGTTTTATGTCAAAACGTTCGCACACACGAATAAGATTTGGCTTCTTTGAATGATGCACTGGAATAGAAAAGACATTTTTTTTTCCAGGACAAGAAAGTAGATCGGTGATTTTGTTATATATCAACCGGCACCACGTGTTTGCAAGTGTGATGCGGTTTATATTTCAATCCTGTTCATTTTCAAGTTCTAACTTGTCTCACTTTCTCCACAAACTTTAATTATTGGTCATCGATTCCAGGAAGGTTAAGAAATGGAAAACATTATTTTAAGAATTTCGAACCAAGCAATGAAGGCTGAAGTGGGTGGAGGTGGAAATTTGTCCCTGTCAGAAAAATTCAACAGAAAGCAGATAAATTTTATATTCGCAAAATATTGATGTGGTTCGACAATGAACAGACTAGACAAGGGAAGATTTCTTCTTCTCTTACGTCTCCTATTTATACTTGTTCTGTTATCACAGTAAAGAAACTGTATTGTTTTACGTCCCCTTTGTTTGTCCCTTTTTTAGTTTAGTTACCTTTTAAGATTTTCACCGTTTTGACCACTTCCGATTACCTCTTCACCGGATCCACACAATAAAGGCATTATACCAAGTACGTGGACGGTAGTTTTATTATCCTAATCTCGCTCTCAATGTTACCGTCACCGTTTTTACCCTTTTGGTTATTAAACCTGCCGATAAACAGGACTTCGTCTTCTTCAGAGTTTTAATTGCCTGAAGGCATTTATCTGATTGTCTTTGAGATTACGCATGCGTATGACACGGATGCATACACCTGGGAACAGAAAAATGCTAAAATCGTGAACGTAGTCGCAAATATAAGGATCTGTATGAATATTTAATTTCAATATGTTAAATTCTATTTGAAAGTGTGTTCATTGAACAATATCAAATTTCTAATAATTTATTAACTATAAATGCCTAAAAATGAAAACCTTTTTTAATTTGATAATTTGATATATCGTTTAAAGAGTGTGAAAATTTTTATCTTTCTTCGTAATTAAATTTTATGTTGATGCCTACTCAATAGGGATTTTGTATTTTATTAATAAGTTTCAATAAAAGTAGGTTTTTATTATTTCTGAAATTGATTAATTAATGGAATATTTTCAAATAATGTGTCTAGTATAATTTCAATTTGCCTAATTTGTTAAGTTTCTAAAAACATAATTTATATATATTTATTTTTTCTTCAGAAATACTACAAAGTCAAGAAAATCATGTAGAGATATACAAGTGATTGCATGACTTATATGAACGAGCGTTTCGTCTATGGGAAAGAGGTTGTAGGATGGAAATCAATTCATCACCCACAGGGATGAGTAATTGCTTTTGAATTCTATCGAGACTGGAAAACTGGAGATTGGAGAGCTGTAGAATATTTTTTTTAAATGTTCCTGGTTCATTCAAATGATAAAACAAAATTGTCGAATAGCTGAGAAAAATTTGTTTTCATTGCAAAATAGCAAAATATTTTATATATATTATATATATATATAAATATTTTATATATAGTATATATGTAAAAAAATATATTTTTTAAATTTTTTTAAAAATATATTGAGAATCTGGCATCAGTATAAAAATCACTTTGAAAAATCATTTTTTCAAAGTGATTTTTATACTGATGCTAGATTCTCAATATATTTAAAAAAAAAAATTAAAAATATATTTTTTATATATATATACTATATTTGCTGCCAGATTCGGTTTTATGACAAAATCACAAAAACTTTGAATTTATTCTGTGATATTATTTTTAAACCACTAGGAACCCCCCCAAAAAACAACCCCCCCCCCCAAAAAAAAACAACAACAACAAACAAAAACCAAAAGCAAAAACGAAATGATATATTTTGTATTATATGCTGAACCCTGTTTAAATAGATTACATTTGCTTGTATATAGGAATAATTCTGCTTGTCCCTCCGTTAGATAGCACGACCGTTGCGCCCTGCCAATACTTCATAGACAATGTTCTATTCCGTTTCAATCGCGTGGAAAGACGGAACAGACATATCAGAAAACCTACTTGGTTTCAGTGAGAAAATTATCGAAAGAAAGATAGAAATAAAGGAAGAAGTGAACGTAGAAGTGTTCAACTCTCCCGCCTAAATAATGGTTTTGATCAGAGATGCTACTTGCTTTCAGTGAGAAAATGAAGAAAGAAAGACATATAGAAATGTTTCACTGAAATGGAAAAATTTGTCTGTTTCATTGAAATTGAAAAAGGTTGTCAATTTCAAAGCTTTTATTTGTACCCCCTTAATTCTTAATATAACGACCAGCATTCATATTTATGATTGTTATAGCAGTATTTTTAAAGTTGTTATGCTCAAATATTTGACGATGCAATAGGGGGGATTTCTGTGGATATTTTAGAACTCGCCTGTGTGCTTATTCAATCATTAACCTATGTATTAAGATTCATCAGAAAATTCAAATAGGAGAATCGTGAAATTTTCACGGGTATTTCTGGTAATAATAATTTCTATATCGTCATGAGTCCCATGACCCATTAGGGTTGTAAGGATACCACATGTACTGTAGCCATAGAAGCAGTGGTGTGTCTTGGATAAGATAGTCTGACGGCGCCCATCTATCAGTTTGGTCTTGAATTCAGAGTTTTTTCTTATAGACTGGTTGTTACCTCAAGACAAGAGAATGACATTTTGGTCATGTATTAGGTGAACAATGTTAGTAAAAAAATGTCCAGCCTGCTCAATTCGTAGTTGAAAGAATACGGATTCTTGACTTTTCCAAGTGGAAGCGTATGAAAATAAAAGTGTGCAGGAATTGAAATTAACACACCGAAAATTACTTACCGCGCTGATAACCGGTATCTCTTGAATTAAGGACCGCAACTCACATAAGACACCCTGCCAACGATATTCATAGAAGCTAAAATAATACTAATGGAAAGGTATTCAAGATATACCTAATAACTCTTAGGTTGTTGAAAACTTGCAATTTTCCTGGCAGACTTGACTAGTCCAGATCTTCACAGCTATGATCTTCACAGTTATGATCTTCACAGCTATGGTCTTCACAGTTATGATCTTCACAGCTATGATCTTCACATTTATGAACTTCACAGTTATGATCTTCACAGTTATGATCTTCACAGCTATCGTCTTTACAGTTATGATCTTCACAGCTATGATCTTCACATTTATGGTCTTCACAGCTATGGTCTTCACAGTTATGATCTTCACAGTTATGGTCTTCACATTTATGGTCTTCACAGCTATGGTCTTCACAGTTATGGTCTGCAGAGCTATGATCTTCAGAGCTATGGTCTTCACACTTATGATCTTCACAGTTATGGTCTTCACAGTTATGATCTTCACAGCTATGGTCTTCACATTTATGAACTTCACAGTTTTGACCTTCACAGTTATGATCTTCACAGCTATGGTCTTCACAGTTATGATCTTCACAGCTATGGTCTTTACAGTTATGATCTTCACAGCTATGGTCTTCACTGCTATGATCTTCACATTTATGGTCTTCACAGCGATGGTCTTCACAGTTATGGTCTGCAGAGCTATGATCTTCAGAGCTCTTCATGGTCTTCTTCACAGCTATGGTCTTTATGATCTATGATCTTCACAGTTATGGTCTTCACAGTTATGATCTTCACAGCTATGGTCTTCACAGTTATGGTCTTCACAGTTATGATCTTCACAGCTATGATCTTCACAGCTATGGTCTTCACATTTATGAACTTCACAGTTTTGATCTTCACAGTTATGATCTTCACAGCTATGGTCTTCACAGTTATGGTCTTCACAGTTATGATCTTCAGAGCTATGATCTCCACAGTTATAGTCTTCACAGTTATGACCTTCACAGCTATGATCTTCACAGTTATGATCTTCACAGCTATGGTCTTCACATTTATGAACTTCACAGTTTTGATCTTCACAGTTATGATCTTCAAAGCTATGGTCTTCACAGTTATGATCTTCACAGTTATGATCTTCACAGCTATGGTTTTCACAGCTATGTTCTTCACAGTTATGGTCTTCACAGCTATGGTATTCACAGGTATGGCCTTCACAGTTATGATCTTCACAGTTATGATCTCCACAGTTATGGTCTTCACAGTTATGATCTTCACAGCTATGGTCTTCACATTTATGAACTTCACAGTTATGATCTTCACAGTTATGATCTTCATAGCTATGATCTTCACAGTTATGACCTTCACAGCTATGATCTTCACAGTTATGGTCTTCACTGTTATGATCTTCACAGCTATGGTCTTCACATTTATGACCTTCATAGCTATGATCTTCACAGCTATGGTCTTCACAGTTATGATCTTCACAGTTATGATCTCCACAGTTATGGTCTTCACAGTTATGATCTTCAGAGCTATGATCTTCACAGCTATTTTCTACAACACCACGTACAATGAGTCGAATTATTCTCGTTTCCTTCATATTCCATTGATAAGGAGAAGTTTCCACTCAGTCAGTTACTTTCAAAGAACTGTTGCATTGTGGGACATACTTCCGACAGAATGCATCTTCGATCGCTACAACCATAACCTCTTGAAGTCTACGTTCATTCATTAACTATATCGTCATAAAATATACCTATTACTCCCTCCTTGTACGCCCTAACAACAAACATATTTAGTAATTCTATATCTTGTGTGGCTCTTGGGCCTTATATCGGGCGAACAATAGCATAAAAAAGTATATGGATATATTGAATCGGCCAACTGTTACAACTGTTATCAGCGATGTGCCGCATCCCTTCAGGACATGAGCGATCATGGCTCTCCAAACCTCCTTTCCCTTGTGGCCTTTAGCAGTTTTTCTCTCTTTGCTAAGGGAAACCATCCATATACACAAGCTTGTCAGGCAGATGGCTTGATGCCTTACCTTATCTTACTTGTCCTTGTGGGTATTTTCAGTTCTCTTTTTATTTTGAGCATAAGATTTTTTGTTGATATTTTTTTCAAGAATTTCTCATTGCTTACTCTCTCCCTCAGTAGAATTCTCAGTATCCTTCTGTAGAATCAATTTCTGTTGCGTCCAATTTTCTCCCTATCCGTGGGGAGATTATCCGGCATTCACTGCCATATAAGAGAATGGATATCAAATAGCAATCCAGCTCTCTTTTTTTTTTGTTTCTAACGATTTTTGTTCTGTTTCTCAACATTTAACCTTTGGAATGCTTCTTTCGCCCGGCCAATGTGTATTCGGATCACAGTGTCATATTTTTCATCCTTTGTTAAAACACTTTCTTGATATTTAAACTTCTGTACTTGCTTAATGTTAACATCTCCAATTTGTAACTTGCATCTGGGACTTTTTCTCCTAATGCATAAACCAAGATCAATCTGATAAAAAATGACAGAAAAGTATCAGGTTTTTTTTTATATTGCATATATACATTTAAAAAATTTATCCCCATTCAAAGGGGTTCATCAGTCTGCTTATCCCATAAACGAACTTGTCTGTGGGAATGGTCCTTAATGACATTTTAGTGAGTAAGACGCATTACTTGGGGGAACACATCACATTTCTAAGCATCAAACCTCAAATAATACTAAATTACATGATACCTATTGAGGCGAAATTGGTAATACTATACGATATTGAAGATGATCAGACAAAGTACAGGGAGAGCTCGGTTCGTTTGGTTTCTAACCTATGAACATTAGTGTAACCTGTTCCTAAAGCCAGTCCGTCTCTTTCTTTCTCACATTCCCTTTCTATCTCTCAATCTCTCTCTCTCTCTTTCTCTCACATACACACACACACACACACACACACTTTCTCTCTATATATATATTCTTCTCTAAGGCTGTTCAATCCCTCTCTATTCAATCCCTCTATTCTATTCTTACCTAAGGCGATGTCATATCTATCTATCTATCTATCTATCTATCTATCTATCTAATTCTATTCTTATCCGACGTTGCTCACTCTCTCTGTCTCTTTCTCTCTCTCTCTATTTACATACAAACACACACAAACAAAAGGAGCTATGCATACTCTATCAATGTTATTTATATCGTAATAACAAACAATATTTTTATTAGGTACCCCCAAAACTTTGCCAAAAGACGGACATATGTTGAAAAAATGCACTAAACATAATAAGAAACAAGAAAAGTATATTTTATTTTTGAAAGATTTTTAATAAAGAGAACTGTGTTTTCTTGACAAATCAGTCAATATGGATGAATTTATTAATTTTACTGATAAAAAAAAAAAAAAGATTTCAATCATGTTTAGTTGGGTTTGAAATACACCAAATTATTTCCATATTGAGAATATTATATTAATAAATCACGATAGCTATTCGGAAGAAGTGATTAGATATACTTTAATGTTTAAAAAAAATTATTCAGTATTATTATTTTTTAGATAATAAGCATTATAACATAGCACAAATGGTTATATAGTGAAAAAAGGAATTTTCGACAATATATGCATTTTTACGTATTTATACATTTTTTTTTTTAACTTTTACCAAAAATGACATTCTTGTACATGTAATTATGGATAACATTATACATTCATTATGAATTTTTTATTAATAACTATTTATGCTCATTTGTTGACATTAATAGCTATCGGCTGATGTGCTAAAATTTTGGAATAATGCAATAATAAAAATTGAAATTTCATCTCTCTGATGGATGTCACGATCTGTAAATTTAAAATCTACCAGCTAAAAACTAAAATTAAAGCTTCAGGAAAGACTTTTTTATTTTATTTAAATGCATTTTAAACTTTACGTATCTCTTTTTTTTAAAGAGTTACTTAAATTTTATAGTCGTAAATTCTGACTCGATCTCACTCTTTTTCTTTAACGCTAAAGCGCACACAAGTATACACGCACGCATATACACAAGCAGTAACACTCCCATACGCACGCGCACACATATATTGCACGCATACGTATGAAGACACATTTACACATGTATGAAGCAGACACGAATATGTTAACGCAAAAAAGCACTTCGTTGTTCTTTCCCACTACCTTTACGTATACAAATTTGCCGTCGCATGGATGCACGCATGCGCGACAGGGCATCCAGTCGCGTTAAGTATGAATTTGATCATGTGCGTTGACTGTTAAATCTCGTTGTTTGAAGGACAGGGATTACTTTATTTGGTCGAGGGCAGGGCAAGAGAAAACGAGAGAGCTCTTCCCATTAATTATATTTGACTATTTAAAACCTTTTCATCTGCACTGAAAAAAATGAAATAATAATAGCAATAATATATATATATATATATATATATATATATATAATTCTATAATATATTTATTTATCTACAAAATATGTTAAATGTTTTCGGGGCTTAGATTCAAGGATGTGTTTTATGGACAACTTCGCTCACTGCTGATCAAAAATTTATGCGCCTTTCTTTTTATAATATTTTTTGTGACTTTATTCAATGTAAAATAATAAAAAAAAGCATTCCAGTCTCTCTATGCATCATTATTTCACTAAGTGCTGGGCTTTGAGAAAGCATTCGGGCGTTAACAGGGCTCTTTAATATCTGAGTTGAATCTATATATGAATATAACTGTGCAATCTATGTTGTAAATTTATCTCAGAATGGCACAAGGTCATTTAGAGCAAAAATAACATAATGTCAATTAAAACCAATGCTTTACAAAAGCCTCTATACATGGCCGGTGCCTCGACACCCAGAGGGTCCAAGACTGATTTGTTGCACAGGGCAGTGTTTTGTGATAACCGCTATCTTAACAACATTTGCATTTATCTTCCTATATTTATAAACGTTACAAATTAAACTAAACACAACTCATTCTTGGTTCTTTTTTTTTAAATTTATCGTCAAAATCTCTGAATTTGTTTTGCTCCTGTATAAAATCGCTTTATAAAAATTTGAACATAAAAATAACTATATAAAAATTTGAACATAAAAATCGCTATATAGAAATTTGAACATAAAAATCGCTATATAGAAATTTGAACATAAAAATCACCATATAAAAATTTGGACATAAAAATCACTATATTTGAACATAAAAAGCACTATATAGAAATTTGAACATAAAAATCACTATATAAAAATTTGAACATAAAAATCGCTATATAGAAATTTGAACATAAAAATCGCTATATAGAAATTTGAACATAAAAATCACCATATAAAAATTTGGACATAAAAATCACTATATTTGAACATAAAAAGCACTATATGGAAATTTGAACATAAAAATCACTATATAAAAATTTGAACATAAAAATCGCTATATAGAAATTTGAACATAAAAATCGCTATATAGAAATTTGAACATAAAAATCACCATATAAAAATTTGGACATAAAAATCACTATATTTGAACATAAAAAGCACTATATGGAAATTTGAACATAAAAATCACTATATAAAAATTTGAACATAAAAATCGCTATATAGAAATTTGAACATAAAATTCACTATATAAAAATTTGAACACAAAAATCACTATATAGAAATTTGAACATAAAAAGCACTATATAAATTTGAACATAAAAATCGCTATATAGAAATTTGAACATAAAATTCATTATATAAAAATTC